ACCTGCTTTGGCAGGGGGTTGGACTAGATGATCTCCAGAAGTCCCTTCCAACCCCGTATCATTCTGTGATTCTGTGACTTAAAATAAAAATATAGGAATGTGGAAATGTTAGTGAGGAAGCATCATCAGTAACCACGTGGATCAGAATGTCATACAGAGGAAGAAATGGTGAATTTGAAGGGAGGAAATAAGACATAGTGTGAAACCAGGTCCTACAGACTGCAATCTCAGGCGCTTTGATACCAATGACAAGAACGTTCACTGGAAGCTGGAAGTTAATTGTTGAAAACAACAAAGGAAGAGAACAACCTGGGGTAATATTAACCTCTGACTTACTATGGGTAGTTGGTGGGGTTGCATCTAGAAAGTCAAGCCTGATCCTGAAAGGTGTCTCTGGTCAAGGTGAGGAGCCATTAATGGCACTGTACAAGCACTGATGGGATCTCGCCCTGCAACGCTATGTGTAATTCTTGCCGCTTTCAAGGAGGCACTGGAAAACTACCTTGAAAATGGGAAACAGCGACCTGGGTTAAACAAATCAAAACTCTTGAGTTATTCTGATAAACACCAACAGCTTTTTGTAAAAGATTACCTCATATCAATAGATATGGCGTTTAAAACCGTGGCTGGTTCCTGAAGGAACGAGTTGGCAATATATTACTTAGGAATGTTGCTGTTTCTAAACTGTGCCTTCCTCGGCGTGTTGCTCATCCTGAAAGCTAACAGACAAGAATGAAGTTGACTCTTGGGCAGATGAGCAGTCTCCAAGTCCTGCATTTCAGACCAGGGCAAGAGAAGAGGAGACCTACTTTACAGAAGGATTTCAAGCTCAGTGAACCACCAAAACCCAATCATCGAAATTGAGGGTAAGCTTAGTTAACTTCCCAATCCTACTACTTCTTGAGTCTTAAAATCACTTCTTCTCCCTTCAGAAAATGTTTGGGCTGGTTTGAGGATTTCGCTTTTGCCTCAGCAAACAGACTCCTGGCTTATGCACCAGAGGTTGTTTGAATATGGAGAAGAATTGTTGGGGATGAGGGTTTGCCCAGATATCTGGAATGGGTTTGTGGCCTTACTCAACCCGCTGCCTGCGCTGTGCAGCTTCCCCTTGCTTCAGCAAAACCCCAAAGCCCTCAAGCTACTAAGCACAATACTCAGATTTCTGTCAGATACTGGCCAGATCAAGCATTTAACAGGACGCAAAGTTGAACAGGATGCGTGGCAGATTAATGAAGATTTACAGATTTAAAGGAGTAAAAATTAAAAGGAAGCACAGGAGTGCTGGAAGACTTGTGACTAATCACGCTTTGGGATCTAAACCAGTGTCACAAGGCTTGGGGAAAAAAGAGGTGGTATGTTACCATTATTGGGACCATCTTTTCAGCTGCCCAGTTCTGGTCTCTGTTAGAACAACAACTCCAGGTAAAAAAAAAAAAACAACAACAATTTATGGGTTCTCTTATTTCTTTGAGTAGCCAAATATGCCTCATAATCTTCATCTCCTGGTAGAGTCTGAGACCTGTGTGTAACCAGCACCCTACTCTTTTTTTCATAGAATCATAGAATGGTCAGAGTTGGAAGGGACCTTAAAGATCATCGAGTTCCAACCCACCTGCCCTGGGCAGGGACACCTCCCACCAGACCAGGTTGCTCCAAGCCCCATCCAGCCTGGCCTTGAACCCCTCCAGGGATGGGGCAGCCACAGCTTCTCTGGGCAACCTGTTCCAGTGTCTCACCACCCTCACAGCAAAGAATTTCTTCCTGATCTAAATCTAAATCTCCCCTCTTCCAGTTTAAAACCATTACCCCATTGTCCTGTCACTGCACTTCCTGACAAAGAGTCCCTCCCCAGCTCTCCTGGAGCTCCCTTCAGATACTGGAAGGCTGCTCTAAGGTCTCCCCAGAGCCTTCTCTTCTCCAAGCTGAACAACCCCAGCTCTCTCAACCTGTCCTCACAGCAGAGGTGCTCCAGCCCTCTGATCATCTTTGTGGCCCTCTGCTGGACCCTTTACAACAGATCCATGTCCTTCCTGTGCTGAGGACTCCAAAGCTGGACACTTCATGCTTCATTTGTAAGCAATTTATTCAGTCTGTGACCCTGAGCGTGGCCCTAGGAATGGAATTAGAATATTTGGTATGAGCAGCAGTAAGTGAGCAGTAAAGGGCAATTTACCAAGTTTCTTTTCCCTTAATACCTTGCAGTCAGGATCACAAATATTTCCTAGCAGGACCGAACTGCTAGAGCAGGGGGTTTCCATTGCTTTTAGGCTGCAGAAGAAGTTTCCCAGTAGAGGTCACAATCTCTTCATGGTCAGTTTAGTCCTACTAAGGCTTTGGTTTTTCCTCATCATCTTTCACAGAACTTTCACGGTTGTAGTGCATGAAGCACCCAGGAAGCTGCAATCTCTGAGGCTGAAAATCACGGGGGGGTAGAGGAACACACACATTTTCAAACACAGCTAGTGCCATTTATTTACTCATGTCCTTCAGGAATGGGAGGCTTGAACAGACAATGCAAAATCCACCATTCGGAGAGAAGAAAAAGTTTATTGGTACTTTTATAAAAGGAAACAGTCTCTGTAGTACATTGTTATAAATATTCATAAATATTCTGTAGGATTTAAGACCCACTCAAATAAATAAATAAATATTGCAATATAAATAAGTGATGCTTTCTTCCTGGCTGATAACGGCCAGCATCTCCTTTGAAGAATCAATTCTTCTGACGCTTCAATACAGTTCTCTATATTTAGAAATACATTTTTTTTTAAATACAAAATCCATTATCCATTCACTCTTAGCTTAGAGATTAAATCCCCTGGCTGCTGGTGGAGTGAGCAACCCTTCTTACTTTCTTCTAATGTATGAGAGCAACCCTTCTTACTTTCTTCTAATGTATCAATATAGAGATCATATAGACATTTAACCCCACTGACACTTCTCACCAAAACTTGATATTGATCGAGACAGAAGTTCTCATTATTCAAATTTATAGAGATCATATAGAGATCATATAGAGATTTAACCCCACTGACATTTCTCACCAAAAGTTGGTATTGATCGAGACAACTTCTCATTATTCAAATCGTTGTAGGTCCATTGACTCTATGGAGCTTACAACAATTTATGCAAAATGAAAACTTTGCTCAAGTAATTGCTTTCCCGAGTTCTCAAGGAGCAAATGCCAAGAAGAATGGTATAGGAATCAAGTAAAATTATTAAACTAGAACACATAAATAAAATCACACCTCCCCAATGCGTAGACAGCAAGGTAAAAAGTCTTGCTGTATTTTGAATAAGCAAGAAAATACACAACTGTATGCCCACACTGCAATTCTCTTAAACCCATTAGAATCACTCCTTTCTTTTTGAAACTAATCAAAAACATGATCAGTTTAGAGGATGCAGACCAATAAATTATGAGGCAGAACTCTTGATCTAATCCTAATCATTTGACTTGTCCTGCGCTTCTAATTATATGAATTTATATGAATTAGGAATCACTCCACCTAGGGAAACTATTATAGCAGCAGAATCAGGTTCTGTGACTGTTCTAATGTAACTTCTTGGATGCTGAAGATAAAGAGACTTCGTGTGTATATATACAGAAATAGGAGGGGGGAAGATTATTTTAAATGCTGTCAGTAGGACAGACCATGTGCTAAATCCAGAACAATTTCAATGAAAACAAGGAACACAGGGGACCTTATGAAAATAAATAAGGGAGAAAAAACACTAAGCATATCCACGATTTTCAGAATCCTTGTGGAAATTAATAGAGCTCCAGTAAAACCAATCAAACGATACTGAATTCTACCAGTTGACAATTTGACACCTACATTTCAATGAAAACCTCTGCTCCGCAGGTATCGCATCTTCATTAAAGATTTTTAAACTTTGGATGTATATATGGAGGTTGAAGTCTAAGAAGTGAACTTACCAATAACACTATACCAATCTAGGGAAAAGGGTTTGTCAACATTAGTGATCTCCTGATTAATATTGAAGTAATTTCACCTTTACAAGCGTAAAGCATCTGATACCTGCTCAGAACTAAATAGAAACGTAGACGCTAAACTGAGACTCTCCTTTTCTAAGTACGAACCTAATTTTCACTCGTTAGATGAGAGTCTTCATGAGCAATTAATAGTTTTATGCCGGTGTAGTTCAGCAGTGTGCGGATGATTAGCTATCCCAGTACTTCTCTCTGGCTTGAAATTATGCAAACCTAATGAATGGCTCTACATTATATTTCTATATTGTGATGGTAGAATTTAATGAATATAAAAGTCTAATAGAGAAGCACTTGAGAGACAATGAGTCTCTCCTCTTTTTTTTCCCCAAATCTCAGCTTGGATTCAATAAGTGTCAGAAGTGACTCTTTCTACACAAGACAATTTGATTCTGTCCTGTTCTCCTCTCCTTTACTCCAGTGTTCACAGCAAAGTGGTTACTTTTTGACTCGTACGGGCATGAAAAGAGGCTGAAGCTTCAACGACTTAACAGCTAAAAACGTATATAGTAAATTTTATATAATAATATAACACACCATCAGTTGGTTTGCCTGTTGTGCTTGCACAGGCGGGGATGGTGCTAGTAAGAGGATGCCCTGTCTCTGTTGGAGTCCCAGATGCACTAGGTCTCTCCCCAGCTCCACCAGTAACGAAACATCGGTTTCTCCTTTCATTCAAGTGCTTTTTTTTTTTTTTTCACTGAATCGCTAAGGTGATTCAGACCCTAATATGTTTAGTTGCTATTATTCTTTTCAAAAGTGTATCTTCTTTCCAGTAAAACAGAGCCCCACCTGGAAAATGTCCAGCTTGGTTTTTTTCAGTATACTGTCACCTGGAAGTACAAAATTTGAAATTAAGGTGTTTTTTTTCCCCGATCTCTTTCAGGTTTCTAATAGCCATGTTGACATTCAAACTGAGTGTGCTAGGCAGTTCCTTTTGCCTGTTATGTTAGCCCATGTCTTCAATTTGTAAGTGGTGGGGCCACAGTTACCGTGTAATATAAAAGCGAGGGCTTGCGTACCTCCTGGCATCCATCATAGCGTGTGGGTCATCTGGGTTGACCACGTCATTCTGGTTGATTCTCATGGGTTCTCTGGGCATGTGGGGAAAGTCAGCTTGCTGCTGCAACTGAGATCCGAACGCGGAGATCTTCCTCTGGGGGACCAGGATCTGGTGAGGATCCATTGGATCAACATCTGCACTTCTGGTATTTCTGTGGGGCTCAGGTGTGTTGAATCGAAACAAGGGGATTTCGTTTCTCCTGGACAAAAACTGGGAGTATGGTGGTGGATTCATACCAGGCATGAAAGCTTGTTTGACTCTGCCTAAGCTAACCAAGAAGTTGTGTTTGGGAGACTGGTACACATCATATCCATTTTCCAGTGTCCTGTGGTTGAACACGCAGTCCTCTTGACTGAAGTAATGCTTAGGGGAAAAAAATATGACACCAGTGAGCAGAGGGATTTGGTGAATGACAAGTGCTGATTAAAGATGGAAAGAGGGATGAGATCTTGCAGCGGGTGTTTTTCCTGGTCTGCCAGCTCTGTAACTCAGACAGCTCAGGCTTAGTCTAATGTCGATCTGAGGTGCATGCCCATATTTTCAGCAAAAGCATTATAATGATAATTCTTTATAATGAACTCATTATAATGAACCTCATTATTAGAATGAGGTTCAACAAGGGTAAGTGTAGGGTCCTGCACCTGGGGAGGAAGAACCCCAGGCACCAGTATAGGTTAGGGGTAGACCTGCTGGAAAGCACTTCTGAGGAGAAGGATCTGGGGGTCCTGGTGAGAGTAGACTATCCACGAGCCAGCAATGTGCCCTTGTGGCCAAGAGGGCCAATGGGATCCTGGGCTGTGTAGGGAAGAGTGTGGCCAGTAGGTGAAGGGAGGTCATTCTGCCCCTCTGCTCTGCACTGGGGAGGCCACAACTGGAATCCTGCGTCCAGTTCTGGGCTCCCCAGTTCAAGAGAGACAGGGAACTGCTGGAGAGAGTCCAGCGTAGGGCAACAAAGATGATGGAGGGACTGGAGCATCTCCCTGATGAGGGAAGGCTGAGAGAGCTGGGACTCTTGAGCCTGGAGAAGAGAAGGCTGAGGGGAGACCTTATTGATGCTGATAAGTATCTAAAGGGTGGGTTGAAGGAGGATGGAGCCAGACTCTTTTCAGTGGTTCCCAGTGACAGGACAAGGGGCAACGGGCACAAGCTGGACCATGGGAAGTTCCACTCCAATCTGAGGAAGAACTTCTTTGGGGTGAGGGTGCCAGAGCCCTGGCAGAGGCTGCCCAGGGAGGGTGTGGAGTCCCCTTCTCTGGAGATCTTCAAGCCCCACCTGGATGCTCCTGAGTGATGTGCTCTGGGCAACCCTGCTTTGGCAGGGGAGTTGGACTGGATGATCTCTAGAAGGTCCCTTCCAACTCTGGCAATTCCATGATTCTATGATAACATTGTTTTATTTCAGAAGGCTGCATTGTTTGAGCTGCTCCCGACCCATGGCTCTGTGCTACAGCAGGAATTCAGATTGATCCTTCACTGGATCTCATTCTGCCCCCGTTTACCCAAGGAGGAACTGCTTCTGGCTTTTGTCAGCTCTACAACTCAAAAGAAAGAGAGAAATCAATCTCTCTCTTGAGAAAGCAATCAAAAAGAAGAGAGAAAGTTTAACCTAAGTGGCAGGTCCTCAGCTCACTTAAACTGGCATGTTCCTACTGTAGCTGTACAGATTTGCCCTGCCTGAGAAAACAGACACCACAGACCACCTGCCTTCAGTCTGGAGTCTTAGTAAGGTTCACTCACCGAGCCAAAAATGTTTCCTTTCGTGTCCATACAGAGGTAGCGTCCGCTCTTCACACCTGTGATTATCACTGAGCCAGCACCCTCGGACTTGATCATTAGGGCACCTGTTTGGAAAAACAAAGGTGTCAAACCCAGGACCCAGTTCAACACCGCGCCGTTGCCTTGCAGATTCACAGATGCTCTGGCTGGAAGTGTCCTCTGTGGGTCTGAACCAACCTCCCACATGAACTGGGACTAATGACCACTGTAGACCAGGTTAGCTGGGGTTTTGTCGCCTGAGCCTTGGAAAGCTCCCAGGATGGAGATGCCACCACCTTTCCAGGTGCCCTGTGGCACTAACCTCCCAAAGGCAACATTTGTTCCCTAACATCCACTCTGAAGTCCCAGACCACAGTCTGGGGACACTGCTCGTCAGCACTACCAAGGGGAGTTCATCTCCTTCAGCTTTGTGTGATCTTAATATCCTGTGATATTAAATTATCCTTACCCTCCTTTTTTGTTACACTAAACAAACCCAACCCCCTCAGCCTTTCCTACAGATCATGCTCAAGGGCACTGATCTCCTTTAAAAACCCTCTGCCAGACCAGTTTTGGTTTCTCCACATCCATCTTGACCTGGTGCACCCCAAGAGCAGTTTCACTGGTGCCCAGTAAAGTGAGATTAACAGCTTTCCTTGGTCTCCTGACCACAGCAGGTGGTTTGCCTGCCTCTCAAAGTGAGTGTGCTCTTGACTTATGTTTAATTGGGTGCCTGCTGTAACCCTCAGGTCCTACCCAGGAGGACTTTACACATCCAGCCTCCTCCCAGCCTGTGCAGCTGCAGGGGGATATGGCAGACCTGGTGCAGAACTTTGCACCTCTCATTTATCTATTCTCCCCCTCTGCTCTGCACTGGGGAGGCCACAACTGGAATCCTGCGTCCAGTTCTGGGCTCCCCAGTTCAAGAGAGACAGGGAACTGCTGGAGAGAGTCCAGCGTAGGGCAACAAAGATGATGGAGGGACTGGAGCATCTCCCTGATGAGGGAAGGCTGAGAGAGCTGGGACTCTTGAGCCTGGAGAAGAGAAGGCTGAGGGGAGACCTTATTGATGCTGATAAGTATCTAAAGGGTGGGTTGAAGGAGGATGGAGCCAGACTCTTTTCAGTGGTTCCCAGTGACAGGACAAGGGGCAACGGGCACAAGCTGGACCATGGGAAGTTCCACTCCAATCTGAGGAAGAACTTCTTTGGGGTGAGGGTGCCAGAGCCCTGGCAGAGGCTGCCCAGGGAGGGTGTGGAGTCCCCTTCTCTGGAGATCTTCAAGCCCCACCTGGATGCTCCTGAGTGATGTGCTCTGGGCAACCCTGCTTTGGCAGGGGAGTTGGACTGGATGATCTCTAGAAGGTCCCTTCCAACTCTGGCAATTCCATGATTCTATGATAACATTGTTTTATTTCAGAAGGCTGCATTGTTTGAGCTGCTCCCGACCCATGGCTCTGTGCTACAGCAGGAATTCAGATTGATCCTTCACTGGATCTCATTCTGCCCCCGTTTACCCAAGGAGGAACTGCTTCTGGCTTTTGTCAGCTCTACAACTCAAAAGAAAGAGAGAAATCAATCTCTCTCTTGAGAAAGCAATCAAAAAGAAGAGAGAAAGTTTAACCTAAGTGGCAGGTCCTCAGCTCACTTAAACTGGCATGTTCCTACTGTAGCTGTACAGATTTGCCCTGCCTGAGAAAACAGACACCACAGACCACCTGCCTTCAGTCTGGAGTCTTAGTAAGGTTCACTCACCGAGCCAAAAATGTTTCCTTTCGTGTCCATACAGAGGTAGCGTCCGCTCTTCACACCTGTGATTATCACTGAGCCAGCACCCTCGGACTTGATCATTAGGGCACCTGTTTGGAAAAACAAAGGTGTCAAACCCAGGACCCAGTTCAACTCCTCACCGTTGCCTTGCAGATTCACAGATGCTCTGGCTGGAAGTGTCCTCTGTGGGTCTGAACCAACCTCCCACATGAACTGGGACTAATGACCACTGTAGACCAGGTTAGCTGGGGTTTTGTCGCCTGAGCCTTGGAAAGCTCCCAGGATGGAGATGCCACCACCTTTCCAGGTGCCCTGTGGCACTAACCTCCCAAAGGCAACATTTGTTCCCTAACATCCACTCTGAAGTCCCAGACCACAGTCTGGGGACACTGCTCGTCAGCCACTACCAAGGGGAGTTAGTCTCCTTCATCTTTGTGTGATTAGACCACAGTCTGGGGACACTGCTCGTCAGCACTACCAAGGGGAGTTCATCTCCTTCAGCTTTGTGTGATCTTAATATCCTGTGATATTAAATTATCCTTACCCTCCTTTTTGTTACACTAAACAAACCCAGCTCCCTCAGCCTTTCCTACAGATCATGCTCAAGGGCACTGATCCCCCTTAAAAACCCTCTGCCAGACCAGTTTTGGTTTCTCCACATCCATCTTGACCTGGTGCACCCCAAGAGCAGTTTCACTGGTGCCCAGTAAAGTGAGATTAACAGCTTTCCTTGGTCTCCTGACCACAGCAGGTGGTTTGCCTGCCTCTCAAAGTGAGTGTGCTCTTGACTTATGTTTAATTGGGTGCCTGCTGTAACCCTCAGGTCCTACCCAGGAGGACTTTACACATCCAGCCTCCTCCCAGCCTGTGCAGCTGCAGGGGGATATGGCAGACCTGGTGCAGAACTTTGCACCTCTCATTTATCTGGCATCTCAGCGGTACCATGGTGACCTGGCAGAGATTCAGTCACCCTTCTTCTCACAATCCCTTGCAGTGTCTCATTTCCACCCTTCCTGCTCCACCGTGCCAAATACTGGTGCATTTGCTTCAGATACGGGCAAAACATGGTATTTTGCTGGCTGTTTTTCTCTATAACATCACACTGGTTCTTGACCAACATACCTAAAATGAGTTCTATAAAACCTTTGGATATGCAGGAAGAACAACAACAAGACAGTGCAAGAGTCCCCTGCAAGTCTTTAATTAATAATTCCTGAAAAAAATACATTAAAAAATAGCAGAACTTGATCCTTTTTTCTCCTTGATTAAATTATAACTAATAAAAACATCCTTTCCTCCTTATGTACTTATGTAAAAACATCATTACATATTCTTACATTTTTAGTTGAGTGGATGAAGAAGACTCTATGCAGCAATAATTATAAACATGACTTTATGATGCCTAGCTCCTTGTAATTTGAGTGCTGCTAAAAGAGACATACTTTCGAAATGTTATGAAAGAACCCTAAATCTTAAAAAAAACCCCCATTTTTCTACTAACTATAGGGTTTGAGACAGATATTCAGCAAAGGAAGAATACCTTAGTTTTCCATGAATAAAAACTATTATTAAACAATTTGAGAACCTTTTAGTTACAGTAGGGAATAGTTACTTCTTATGAACTCCAGAGGCTTAGCACTTCTTTTATGACAGCCTGGCATTTTATAGTTTCCCCCTTTTTAATCAACCTTTGCACACCCATGTTCTATGCACATTAGAGTTGGTTTTAGTAGTTATTGACTCTCTGCCCCAAAACTAAAGATTTTAAGGATGCTATCAGTTTTTCACCACTGCTGTGGTGAGCTCCCTTGGTGTGGTTTGGTTGTCACTGCAATGGAGAGTAGCTATTTGGGGAACGTCACCTCCAACCTCTAGTAGGAGCTTCCACAAGAAGCTGTGGGTAAAATCATGAAGTGAAGGATGATTTCGGTAGGTTTTGCTTGCAGAGTATCCCTTGAACCATAGGGCTTCACTTCTCTTAGGTGAGGAATGAAATTCCCCATCCGCTAAATTTCTTTGGAGCGAATTTGTTATGTAGGTTTTCCATCCCATATCTATACTCCTCTCTCTGCCTGCCTAATGAGAGGAGGGAAGTCTTTAGAGGTAGTGAGAAAGCAGAAGTCTTGCTCTCCCTCCCCTGATCCCATGAAGATTGAGGGTCCATAGTAAACTACTTACTGTAAATGGTTTGGTGAGGGACCCCATCAACGTAGCCGTCAGCGTTGATTTGGAGATGGAAGCTGTTCCTCTCTGTGTCTGTGTAGAGGTGCATCAAGTGGTCTCCATTCCCCCAGCTGGGATTCAGCAGTGGAGAGGAGTTGGGAAAGGCGAGGGTAGTAGCCTTCAGGCTGCAGAGTACCAGCAGCGTGTAGCCCAGGCAGCTGTAGGGACTGGTCTGCAGCATGGCTTACCGTTGGGTCGGTATCTGCAACTTGGTACACCTCTGGGCTTCTCTTTTCCCCTTGGTTGCCCGTGTCTGGAGTGTGAATCCTCACATAGGTTCCCTCCTTTTCTGCAGAGGCTTATAAAGGGCAGCAAAGTGACATCACACAGGAAAAACTTCTCCACATCCTTGATTTTTGTCAAAGCAACATTTTAAGTGTCCCGAAACCTCAAGGGAAGGATCTCTGGCTAAGGTGCGGGGGGGAAAAAATGTAAGGTTTCTAAAGACAGCTCACGAAAGCTAATCATATGTTCAAATGTTATCTACAACCCTGTGACATCTGAAAGCTTCCCACGCCCCTACAGTTGGGTCCAGGAAGAGCAATCCACTGCACTTTGCTTTTGCTGAAGGGAATGACCCTTCAGACCTGAATTATCTTTTTTTTTTTTCTTTTTTTTTTTTTTTTTTCTCTCAGGGATGTTTATTCAGATCCCCACGTTCCCTCTCAGTGTCCAAAATACATTCTGATTTAGTGGAAGCATCACATGCTGCAAAAATATATCGTAAATGCATCAAAACCTGATATTAGGTTGTCCTGGGCTGGATTCCCCCTTCATGATGAGCCTGTCGTGCTGATAATTACATCACTCCATTTAAGCAAAGGAAACTTGGTATGAGCACAACCCACTTCAGATAAGCTGTCCCCTTTTATTTCTCCTGTTTCATTTTAAGTCACCTTAATAATTTAAAGTTGGCCAAGCAGCTGAATGTTACCTGTGAAATGCTTGAAAACTGCATGGTTTTCCCTCCATTGCACATCGAGCTGTCAGTCTTTTACAGAGGCATAGACAGTAGATCAAGGATCTGAATCAAACCTGAAATCACTCACATTGGCACATTTTTATTAATTCAGGCACAGCAAGCAAGCTGGGAAGAACTACAAAAGATCGTGACTGAGCTGAAAAGTAATAAATGGGCAGTGATGTTAAAATATGCTCCAAGACACAACACCTGCTTTTCAGTTGTCCTGCCAATGGTCTGTGGCTTTACAAACAAAATTTTCTGATTTTAAAAGAAATATGATTCCATTTATTGTATGAAAATGCTGCACGAATGGGATACTGTGTATTTGGGTAAAATGATGATAGGAAGAGCAGGTTAGAAAACTAGACTGAGTTAAAGTTTCTTTCAAAAATTAATACAAAACTGAAAATAGTACCAAGTAATAAATTAGTATTTTTTTTTTAAGAAGAAACCTGAGGATCTTAATTGTAGCAGTCTTAGGTTCGGTTACAGTCTCTAGTTGGACACAGTATGCAAAATTCTTATTTTCATTAACAAGCTGTGGAGCAGTGCCATCAGCACCAAGCATATTATGGGTTGACACAACTGTAACCAACAGCAAAAGTTGATCCGATGTATTTTTTTTTTCTTGTTTAGAATAAGCAAAACTCTGCCAAATTCTTCTGTCACACCTGTGTAAATCTAGAGACTTGCGTCAGTGTATTTACACCTGTGTAAATGACAGCATTTTTTAGCCAAATTGTATAAGGGTCATACTTTAGACTGAGTAGACTGACAAAGCTGTCTGCACTGAGACAACGTAGGTTACAGATGTTTTACTGGCCATAACATCTGAAAGGCTTTTATTTTAAAACCAGAGTGAAAAATATTGGTGGAGAGACAACGTAGGTTACAGATGTTTTACTGGTCATAACATCTGAAAGGCTTTAATTTTAAAAAAGGAAAGCAGGGTTATTTTTTTCTTCTCTTTTTTTAAGATAATTTCAACAGTAAATAGATACATTGCTCTAAAAAAGAGAAGAAAAAAATAAGCCTGCTTTCCTTTTTTAAAATTAAAGTTGGAGGGGGTGGGAGGGTGTTGTTTATATTGCTTTTCTTTTGCTCCCTTACATTAGACTACCGTGGAAATGTGGATTTGTACACCTCAGAAACAGTTGTAAAAATTTCCTCGAGAAGCACTTAGCGTGTCCTCTTGGGAATTGTTTTGTGATTCTTTTGTGAATGCAGTTTTTCTGGCTTCTTATTTCATATTCATGGCCACATTTTTCTGTGCTTGCCATTGTGCACTGACCTGATCTCTCTCTGGTATCTCAGCTGTAAAGCAATGGTTCTCAGGTGTTTGAAAAATTTATTTAAACCCCATTTTAGCACACGCCAGTTGTGCGCAGCTGTTTCATTTTTTTATATGTCAGAGAAGCAAAGACTACTTTCGCATGCTTAAATTATTTGTCATTTTCAAAAGTTTCCCATAGGGCAGACTATGCTCCATTCTCCAGACTTTGCTGAGTTCTGTTTAAGCTGCTGGGGTAAAGCAAATTCATTTAAGTCTTTTCCTGTGAGGATGATAATGCAAATTTTGCCTTTTTATAGTCTTTTTTTTGTTTTATTTTAAACCTATAAATGCCCACTGGGTGTGGGGTTTTTTTAACAGACCTTTTTCTTTTTTATTTCAGGCTTATCCTTTTATTCCTTCTGGTGGTGTGTCACTGACCTTCTTCTACCCGTTCAGCTGTTGATGAAGGAACCAGGTGTATGAAAGCTTCCTTACTTTTTCAGCTCTGTTAGTCTAATAGAAGTGAGGACAATCTTTCTTCTCTTGTATTGTCCTGCTGCATCAATAGTGATGATATTTCTGTGATTTTTACCACATATGTTGATACTGCTTTTTTAGATCTCTCTACTATCCTGAGATGTTCAACCAGTCGAGCTTTTCTCAGTGAAGAATTAGCTGCAGTCTTCCAGATTTTGCTCAGTTCAGAGGGGAGAAAAAAAATGGAACTGAATTTGAAGACCAAAACCATTTCAGCAAACTCTGCTGTTCCTCTTTAACTGCCGCCTTAGTCCAAATGAAGGATTCAGCTAGTGCTGGGTTTTGTTCAAACATGAGAATAGGTTGATTTCTCCTCTGGAGGAGCCTGCACTTCTAAGCTGGTGGGGAAGGACAGGTCCAACCTATACCTTAGGACTGAATGTGGGCATTTCTACAGGCAGAATGGCCACGTTGCCACATTTTCTACTTGCCATTGCAGGGATGCTGCACAATCTGTGTCAGGTGGCATGGTGGTGCAGGGCTTTCCTTTTCCTTTTCCATCCTGCAAATCCTATACGCAGAAAGAACTGAGTTAGGGTCATAGGAGCAACCTGGGATCTAACTTTCCCCTGTTTCAACTGCTTTGAGTTTCAGATTTAGGTCATTTTTTTGATCAAAACTTACCACTTCACTTTCCCCTGTTTCGACTGCTTTGAGTTTCAGATTTAGGTCATTTTTTTTGATCAAAATTTACCATTTAAAATCTGCAAACCCCTGATCTTGGCAGCTGTGTGTCACCTCTTGTCCAGCTGCTGGCAAAGTAACTCCTTTCTGCAGAGGACTTACAAGGGAAAGTTTTATATAACAAATTTAAGTCTCTACAAGTGAATCGCCCTCAGTTACATTTTGTTAAAGTTACGTTTACCCCTTGAAAGGGTTTAATGCACCATCAAAAGTTTGCAGGTTGGAAAAACGACTCAATGTAATGGGGTTCCCTTCCAGGATTCTCCCACGTGTAAAAATACACGTTCCCTCACGGTGCTGGGCCACCTTTCATCATGTCAGAGCGACTGCAGCAGTGTTGCTTAATAAAGCGTATTGACTTCTATTTAAACAGGTGTGTGTGGCCTGTCCTTTTGCAGAACCCTGTGCTATCTGGTTTTCTGGGGTGGCCTCAGGAAGCCTCTTGCTCTCTGCTCTTTGAAAGACCCCAAGGGAGTTGGCATTGACAGATTTGAAACCGCTTCTGCTTTTAACAATTTTCTTTGCATCTCTTCAAAAAGGTCAGAGAAATCAGAGGCCTCTCCCTCCTCTTACAATCACTGTAATAACTCGCCCTGGGACCATCAGCGTTGGAAATGCAAGGGTGGAGTGCCTCTCCAGAAGTTATTCTAGGAATAATGACGCACTAAGTCAATGGTATGTACAGTGGATGCTCTGTGTGTATGTGTGTGCATGAGCCTTTGCCACAGACTTTACCCGGTGTTGTTAAACACATCCTGAGTGACCTTATTTGGATGTCCCATTCTTGTCACACTGCCCACGGCTAAAGAAAACATCCTGGCTAGGTTCACCTACGTGAAACAAATGAGGTAAGCACAGCCCACTGGATCTGGGACCGCAGCATGTACTAGCAGTTTCTGCAGCGTGCTTGCCAAATATATTGTTTTGGGGCTTCTATTTTTTCCCCCCCTCACCCTTCCTCTACATAGTAGACATTTTGGAAATCCATGTCCAATTTCAGAAGTGCTAAGTCACCTGCACAGGCAGCTCAGACCATGAAATTGCTAGAGGAGCTTCCTCAGCGCCTTGCTCTCCAGGATGCAGGATGTATGGTCTTCCTGAGAAGTGCCCGTCTTTTCCTCTTGGGACTTCTCTTTCATGTCAGACAGAAGACTGGCATAAGCCTTCAGTTCTGGTTCACAAGTCCAAAAGGGAGAGCTATTAGAGGCTATAGGTGTTCAAAATTTAATGGAACAAAAACAGAAAGAAAAAGCCTCGATATTTCACCGTATTCTGAGGAGGTAGATAAGAAATCAGACTTTCCTGCCCGTGTATGTCCTAGCTGGGCATTTGTGATGCTGTTTTGTGTTGTTTTGCTCTAACTGAAATGAAGGGCCTCATTCCTCCTCCAGCTGAAATCCTTGGCAGTGCTCCCAGCCAAAGCAGAACCAGTCCCTAGAAGGTTGTGTTTTCTGTACAGAGTGTGTTTCTGTCATTTTAAAGGGTCTGAATTTTCTTAAGTATTGTGGAATAGAAAATGGTCACAATTCGTGATGAGAGCTGCTGATACCCTCTGTTTCCAAGGAGATGCTTCTGGTTTATTGCAATGGAGCCTCCCAGGTTGTGGCACCCCTTTCTCTGGGGATGGGAAGACCCTTTCCCATGTGGGGACCTGCTTCTCCTGCAGCTCAGGTCAGCACCTGGAAACAACCAACCCCACAGATTGTCTAATACGCTTGGTGGT